AAATCTAACGGAGTGAGTGCCATGCCAGTTTGATGAAGGAAAAAATTACAAAGCTTGACTATAGCACAAAGAACCTCCAAAACGCATCCCAAATAATACCTAAATATAAGGAAGTGCTTACCAACACTTCCGTTCAATGAATTCGCCTTGAAGATTGTTCTTTACAAAAGCGCCGTAGAGAATATGAGGTTGGGTTTTTCGGCAAACATTATTTTGTAGGGGATTGATAGGAAAATATTCATATTTGCGCAATTGCCGTGAAGATTATGGATTTGTGCAAAAATCCCGGGATTACATAGATAATGAGGGAGCTATGCTGGAACGATACCGTTTAAGCTGGATACTAAAGCTCCCCACATTTTTCTCTATCATCTTCCTCCACAGAAAAAGTACGTACGGGTAACTCCTATGCATCACTTTCACACAAGGCGGCTAATGTTTAATGCGTCCTTGGATATCACTTGTTAAAATAAAGGTTCTAAATTTAAATGAGTAATATGATGGAGATAGGAAGCATAACGATGATTTTTGAAATGAGTAAGAAGATCAGAAAATTGAAGGAAGCAATGCTGACAGGGAGGTGGACTTGGAAGACCAAAAGAGATGATAACACAATTATTAAACAAGCAAGTTCAAAATTATAAAAAGAAGTTCCAGAAGAAAGAAGGTGATGAAGATAATTTTTGAAATGATGAAGATGATTAGATAATGAATCAAATGTTGGGAAGAGAGAGGACTTGCGAGTTGCAGAAGTATAAGACACTGAGAAAACAAGACAATGAGGGAACCTCAAGCTAGGGATTATTATAGGTTAAATTACCAAAATGCCCTTTGTTATAATTCTGAGTTTTGACCTAAAATAAATAAATAAGATAATCAAAATTACATGTCATTTGCCACATAATTTCTAATAAACTGGCATGGCACTCATTCTATTAGATTTAACGACCATTTTAACGGTAAGGGGCTCATGGTCAAGTTATGAAAGTTGAGGGTGTGGAATTTAAACTTTTAAAGTTGAGGGGGTCTTATGCAACTCAGTTAGAGTTGAGGGGCATTATGTGCATTTTTGCCTTAATCTTATACATATGTAAGAAATAGAAGTACTGAGAATAGACCCTGCTATAAAATGGATTTAATTTATCACTGCCACCGTCGAGTCTAAGTTTGACCCATACAAAAGGCTTATAAAACTTGTCATAAAGTCTATAGCCTCCAAGATGGGGGGTGAAAAAAAACTATGCCAGAGAATCCCTTTAAAGGGTGGGTCATTTAGTTGATGATATAAAGCCTTCTAATCTTTTCAACAAACCAACGCAGCTCAAAATCCATTCTACACCATTTGGATATTTCATCCTCAGCTTGTTCAACCTCTACCTCCTCTATAAATACTCTTAGCGCGTACAGTTTCCGCTCTGAAGGTCTATTGTGGATTTGGCATACCCTATAGCGCACTAACCGAAGCACCCCCTAATCTTAAGTCTTGGGTGAATAAGCGGAAACCAATTTTTAAGAGTGTCTTTGATAGAGAAAATCTTCTCTTCAGCACAAATATGCTTCCAATATGAAAAGGCACGATCACGAAACTCAAGTTCCCCATGGATGCCAAGACCTATAATCATTATTGACCAAACATAGATTGCAGGATCGTAACCAGCATAAGCAACCTTGTTCATGAGAGCATATCCATAAACAAAGTCCCTACCTGCACAAAAGAAATATTTCATCCCATACCTAAAATGTGCTTGTTCATTACCACGAGCAAAGCAAAGCTGTATAAGTTTCTTCAGTTGATCATTCTTCTCTTTGACGAAGGGTGTCACCTCAGCAACTTGAGCATATCTCAGTACCGTCCCTTCCTCACTCAATTGTTTAAACAACCTACATGTAGCTCTTGCATTGCATAAACTACGAAAACTTCCTCTCCCGACCCTCATGAGTATTTCCTCAAGAACGTCATTTGGCAAGTCAGCCCAGGATGTTGGTCATGTGGATTGAGCATACATCACCAAATCTGTAAATGTATTCATTAGGTTATTAGGTTTTGTGGGTAGCTACCATGTGCATGTCTTGATTGGATGGTTGATGCCAATTTTTTGTGGGGACTCAAGCATTTATAGGGTTGTAAATAGGCCCTTGAGAATTTCAAGGGATGCAAACATGAATGATCAACTATCAACTATCTTATCTAGCATCTAGTAAGGATAACTATGGAGTAATTGTGTTTGTTGAAAATAGTGCAATCTGAGAAGTTGAAAAGGGTGCATTGGCTATAGTCTTTAGTCTGGAATTTACTGTTAACTTATTAAAAGGATTGCCACGTTAGATTACCCTTAATAGAGGGGCTTGTGTTAGATGTATGTTGCGTATATATAATTTCCTAAAATTTTAGTGTTTTAATTTAACATGTTAAGCGCTCTAATTCGAACAATACAAAACAGTTTTACTCCGGTAAGTTCTCATATTCCCAATCCCTAAATCATTACTTCCTTTGGTTTAAGAGATGAAATCTGCACGCTTTTCACTACCTTGAAAAATAAGGAGTCCATTTATTACTTTTTAGAGTAATAATAACAAAGAGTCCTTCAATATGAAGAGCACAATTTAATAACCTGTTTGTGATGCAAAATACTCCCTCTATCCCATTTTATAAGCAACAACCATAATCTCTCTCTTGTCCCTAAGTATAAACAACATTTACAAGTTGTCTAAAAATTTTTTGGGGAGTTCTTTATTTTGCCCTCATTAATTAACTATCATATCTCCATCACATATTCTCTTTTTTCATAATTTTATTTATTATAATAATTTTCTTATTCTCTCTCTCATACTCCCTCCCCTTATGTTGCATATATATAATTTCCTAAAATTTTAGCATTTTAATTTAACATGTGAAACCCCTACTTTGAACAATACAAAACATGTTTGCCCTGGTAAGTTCTCATATTCCCATTCCCGATCGCTTAAAAAATAAGTGGCCTATGGAGTGTTAAGAGTAATTTTAAGTATAGTAACTTTACTCACACATATAAGTTATACACCAATGCTGTGTATTCATTACTTGCTCTGGTTGAAAATATAAGATAACCGTTGTTGGAGAGGCTTAATCTTTTTTATGGGATAACATTCACTCTTGTCTGGTTATAGATGGAGGTTATCTCATAATCTGTGTTGGAAGGAGTAATGAAGAGATGAAATGTGTAATAATTGATTGAACCATGTAATTGTATATATTGATTTGCATGCTTTTCATTGCTTTGAAAATAAAGAGTCCATTCATTACTTTCTAGAGTAATAATAACAAAGAGTCCTTCAATATGAAGAGCACAATTTAATAACCTATTTGTGATGCAAAATACTCCCTCTATCCCATTTTATAAGCAACAACCATCATCTCTCTCTTGTCCCTAAATATAAGTAACACCTATACGTCGTCTTAAATTTTTGTAGTGAATTCCCTAATTGGACCTCATTAATTACCTATTTGAACACTTAATATATTTATTATCTCATTTCTGAAACTATCATATTTTCATCACATATTCTCTCTTCTTGATAATTCTCTTTATTATAATAATTTTCCTATTCTCTTTCTTATACTCCCTCCCTTTATAAATAAGGGCATTTTAATTTGTACACATTTATTGTCCTTAACTAATTTAACTGACAGTTTGATCTAATGGGATGGAGGGAGCATAATCATTGGCAAAAAAAAAAAAGGTGAAACATAATTTATTTTCCTTCAATGTAGTCGTTATCTCTTCCACTAATAAATCAATTTCTTATTATTATAAAATAATTTATTTCTCCTAAAGTATTTATTTTTGCTTAGAAGTTGGATTTAAGAGATGCTTACAAAGTGGCTTCGGGCAAAAGAGAAAAAAAATTCCCAACATAATTTATTTTCCTTCAATGTAGTCATTATCTCTTCCACTAATAAATCAATTAGTTATTATTATAAAACAATTTATTTCTCGTAAAGTATTTATTTTGCTATCCTTCAGAAGCCTTTAGCATTTTCCCTACCTATTCCATAATTAAATGCTCAAAAGTTGGATTTATTTAAGAGATACTTAGAAAGTGGCTTTAAAATTCTGAAGAATGTGTGCAGATCATAAATCCTTAAAAGTGGGAAACCAATGAGTAACACAGCGAAGTCTTGGATGATTGGTTTTATATTCCTAACACATTTTAATACGGAATAAACAAAACAGGTTTTTTTAAACTAACCCCACGATGTTATTAGTTGAAGAAAAAGTACTATTGAACTACACAACATGAAAAGCCTGTAGACCTATTCCAAATAGGACATGACTAATTTGCCTACGAAAAGCTTCTTCAGAACCACAATTCCATTGTAATGAAAATGAATTATAAATATTTTGAATTAAATCTTACAAGGTGCATTTGTTCCATCTCCACTATGCGAGCATAATTATATATCTTTCGCTTCTATCTTGAGTACGTTAGCATAATTATATGTCTTTCACAAAACTACGATGAATGATCTGGGAAAGAAGGCAACTGTTGTTCCATTGAAGACGGCAATACAAAATTATCTCTTGGGGGAGTAATTTCCTTTTAATGAGTTAATTTAGATTATGAAATAATTAAAGCTAAAAATTATTGATAGTAAAGAGTGCAGAAACTGAATCAACAATTAAAGATAATTCATAGGGAATAACACTGAAAAGGACTCATTAAATGCATGACCAAAACCAAAATGTATGCCTGTTCATTTTTATTGCAACTTTATGAATAGTTTCCTCTCGGATATTATATTCGTTGTTATTCCTGCAGCGAGTTTAAGAAGGCAAGATTTAACTTTAGACATGAGAAGATGAAACGTAAAGCATATTGATACTAATATGATTATTGCTAAATCATCATGTTCGAGTGACCACCCTACCCAAGACATATAAATCCCAAAATCTCTAAATTACAAAGACGTAATATGTAGTAATTCTCATAATACGCTATTCTAGATCATAAATTCTTGTTTATTCTTCCTTCTTTAATTTCTTGCATCCCCGTCTAGATGCTACTGTTGGTGCAGAAAGATTAGGTGCTTCCACTTCTTCTATTCGATCTTGATCCATATCTATTGTCAGGTTTCTTGGTGCAGAAGCCCGAGCACTGTCTTTGTTCAATCTGTTCTCCTCAGTAGATGTTTCTTTTGAATATTTGACCTTCTTTGGTTCATCACTTGAGCCCTGTTATGAATCCAGTTGATGTATCAGGGGCACCCATTGCGAATGGAAAATAGAATTAAAAAATGCACAGATAAACTTATATGGGATGGTGTGTAGGTGAATCGTGCCAATATGTAGTCCTCATAGCTGAATTGGACCACCGTCATACTGTTAGTATGATATTTTATATTTGATTCCTTTACCTTCAGTCTTACCACTAACTCTTTCCCAACACAATTCTCCAAGTCCTTTGGAAATGAAAATGTGGTCTCCTTCTGTAAGATGCATATTTTACAAGCTAGCTTAATGGCTGGATGAGGTTTGAGATGGTAAATAATGTTAGTCTATTTACCTCCAATTTCTTGGCCTGAATTTCAGTGGTGGTTCCAAGAAGTTCTTTAGCAAGGCGATTGAAAAAAATAACTGAACACTTTCTGTTGGAATCATACACCTTATAATGAACCTTGAATCTGGAGAAAGTAAACAGGATGAGAGTTAATTTTGGGTTATTTAAAATTCAATGAGGGAAAAGAAACTTATGATCTGTACTTGGGGTGTGTCTCATTTATGGCTTGACAACGCTTTTTGCAAAAAAGCTTTTCCTTATCTTGTTGGGGCTTAGCATCACACTTGCATCCGTCGTATTTCCAACCATATGCTGTTCCACCTTTTGTATGGTGACCTTTGTGACGATATCCATTTCCTGGCAATCAAGAATGAAGAAATCTTGTTTAGAAAAACAGTAAAAGCACACCACTTTTTGGTATACTTATTCCTTATATGTGTCATCATTGAAATTTCAGATATAGGCAGGTGAAGTCAAAATCTCAACAATGAATCAGTTGGGAACTGTATAGTGTCAGTACTTGTAATTAGAAGGAACATCCCAATTTTGGTTGGGTCACTATTGAGACTAGAATTAATCACTGAAAAGCAAACCCATGATTAGTACAGGTTTGTTTAGCAAGCAGTAGTTAATATCATTTTAGAACAGCAATTAATATGCCTGTTGATAAGAATCTTGGCCTCAGGAATGTCCGGGTTAAAAATCACTTTAATGGCGTCAAAGACATTGCTTATGTGGCCATATCCTGAAAAAGGAAAAAGTTAATGATAACTGATGAAATAGCAAATTAGCAATTAGATTAGATAGCAAGAAAATTAGTTGTTTGACAACCCTAGAGACCTGTGGTAAAATTAATTTTTGCAAAGCAGACTAGAACAACTATGGGAGATTTCAAATCGTGCGTTCTACTATTGAATGTCACACTTGCACAATTGCCAAAGAGTACTACACAGACATCATTTTTCCTGAATAAGTGATACATAGTATTCATTAACATGAAAACAAGACCCTCAAGTCATACTATCATGAGGTAATAATAGTAGCTTACTCCTTGTCCGAAATTGTGAAGTTCAACCTCTTGACCACATCATATTCACGTCTTTGATCATAAAGATTCCCGAATGAATTCAGAAATCCTATAACATCTGAAACGGTGAAATTATAATGTTAGCACCTGATATATTATAGTCATTAAAACATAAGTCACATGACTGCCAATTCAACCTATTAATTCTGGATTTGAAGCCTTGTAGTTAGCAATATCCCTTAAAGGTACAAAGTTAAATGCATTCGATGGGATCTGAGCATCACATTCCTTGCAGTATGTGCTATTGTGGAAGCTCAATTTGTACGGGTGCGCAGTTACTTTGTAGTAATTAGTATTTTCAAGCACCTTAAAATTTTCAAAGTGATAGACAACTCCTTCCACTGGAAACGTTTCATAACGCTGGATTAGATTTCTCTGGGTGACATACCCCTTAATTCTTGAACCCTGCAAAAGAAATATTTAATTTAGTGCTTCGATAATGATAGGAAAAAAATTTGAAACTTCATTCATCACCTCACCTGCCCATTGACAAGAATCATCCCGACCTTCCATATTGCCTGTGGAGGAGCCTTCTCAAGGACAAACCATTTTCTTAGTACCCAAGCCTCAATTGGCAATGTATCATTGCTATCATTGATATCTTTGATTAAAGCACAACCTGTAGTTTTCATCTTCTTGTCTCTTGGTTATCACAACTTGTATCTGTTAAACTGAAGCAATGCATTCGGTCGGAGCATTTTGATGTGATATATATATATATATATAGATGGAGTGAGCAAAAATCATTGTCAATGGTTTGATTTTATCCAATATCATTAATGACATTAATAGTTTGCACTTGTTAACGAAGCATGCAGGCTACTTAGTGAAAAGAACCTTTCTCTGAAAAATGAAAAGATACGCGTCTGGATACTTTTTGTTGTTAATTTTATGACTCGGCATGCATATCATATGTTAGTCCTTCATGTTGTTGGGAAGCTAAAAGGAAAAATGTCCAAATAATATAGTTCACTCAAGCCTTCTCTTTTTTGAAGACATTTAAAAAAAGTTGAAGTTGGATTTTTCGAGATGTAAAAAATGAGGTGGGTTTGTTTTTAAGAGATTCATGTATCTAGCAAAGTTAATTATATGAGGCGCAATTGGATTGGTTGACAGCAGTGCAATCTCAGAAGTTCAAGGGGCTGCGCTGGCTATAGCCTTAGGTTTGGAATTTCTTCTTAAACTATTGAAAGATTTGCCTTGCTGGATCACTAATGCTAAAACGGCTTGCGTTTGATAGATGCCGCATATAATTTTGTTCAATTGTTGACATCTAAACAAACCATGTGACACTTGGAGTATTGGAGTTATTTTAAGCGTAATATTAAGAAGATGAGTTTAGACTTTAGATAACGATCTTAAATCTGAATTTGAATTTTAAATGAAGAAATTGTTGAGATTTATAGTATAAAGAGATTGTCTACATATACTAATAAAAAATAATAAATATTATAATTTGTTGTGGCCTTATTTTTTTGGGGATTAGATTCGTTTTTTTAACAGATTTTGTTATATTCTCAATTCCTTTAATAAACTTCATTTATTAGTTAGAGATGTTGAACAATTGAAGAATCACTTTCTAGCCAAGAGACCTTGAAGGGCACCTTTAAATTCTAAATTAAGACGTAATTATTAAATTGTAATATTTATACGTCATCTTTATGTAAATCTCAATAGTCGTCTCTTCATTTAGAATAAAAAATGTAAGTTTAAGAGATTAATTAATGCTTAAGTCGAAAGTTGGATTTTCAAGCGAGAAGACTGAAAGCCTCACAAAGTAGTGATCAGAGCAACATACTCACCAATGAGTCTAGGAATGCCAAATGTCTTGGTATGAATAAGCGTGACTCTTGAGTTTTGACAGCACATACATGTATAGGCAACACCGTAGGCAACAACATATGATACTAATTATTACTTTGTGTTTTCTAATTTCTTAATTATGTAAATATATCACATAGGTAGATGTAAGTTGTGACAGAATGGTTATTAAATGAGGAAGAAATAGCCAATTAGACGTCTTGGGTATAGATATATATATAAAAGGTTTGGTGGCACATGCATAATATGTTGGGTTACATCACCTCTTAAATACTCCATCATCCCTAAAAGAAAACAGCTATTTATTATGATAAGAAGGAAGTGTGTACCAAGAAAGGCCTTGCTTTTTACACGTAAATTTCCACCCTTAATTTGTTTATCCATAGTGGAGACATATAAAGAAAAAGAGGAAAACAATCAGTTTGGGGTATATATTCTTATTTACTATATAACATATTTTATAAGAATAAAGTCAATTTTAATGTATTTTATACAGATCAATAAAAATATTACAATTTATTAACTCTCATATAAAATTTAATAACTTTTTAACTTTATCCTTATTTATTATACGATATATTTATCTTGACCGGGAAATAATCTCTGAGACGAATATATCTATCTAATTTTGAAACGAAAGCCCATAAACTGATCATCTATTCCCTGTTATACTGGAATGCGAGACAATAATTTCTTACTTTTTGTTGTCATAGGTAAACTCTCCTTTTTGCGAGTCGTTATAAAATGTAATTGGGAAAATATCCTTTTTTTAAAATTTTGTTATTTTTACCCGCCAAGTATTGTTTTTTATTTGAATTAGTAGGTTATTGCACGGTAGATGGGAAGAAGTCCTGTTCTTAATTTCCATATGCTTTATTCGCCAACCATGATAAAAGTCATTACAAGGTCATTCTTCAACTGTCAACAGAGTTGAACTCTGTTCTATAGATATAATTGATAGGGGACATTTGGGAATATATAAAAATAAGAATGAGAAGCTATGATAGACCTTTCCTACAACTATTAATTAATGAAGTTGACAAACAGTGATCCTTCGGCCGGCCAAATACACATGGAAGTGAACATTCGTACTGCTAATCCAAACATCTTCTATGCACACATGAAACAAGTTTTTAACAAAGGGGAAAAATTACAAAAGATAAAAAAGAAAACCTAGACTACAGCAACCAACAAATGCCTCAGAAGTTTCATTCATGCTAAAGTTTTGGAAGTGCTAGCATTTCTTTTGTTCTGTTGGGTGTTCAGTTGGAGACGCCTTATATTTCGCTTGAATAGATCTATCTGCGGGTCCTTGTAATCAAAGGCAACTTTTGTTAGGTCTTCATAGCTGGTCAACCATAAATATCCTGGGGAAAAGCACAATTTTGTTTTGTCCCTGAGAAGATGGAATTTCTCCTCCAAATGATAGCGAAAATATGTAACACAACTCACCAAATATCCTGTCGATCTTGATCCACAGCAAAGAAATGATGCAGTTGTCTTTATCATGTTTGTCAAGTGCTATGAACTTCGAATAGGCCCAAAAGACACACGAGCCTTGTAACATCACATGATAGCTGATTCCACTGTGGATAAAATAAACTAAATGCTTGCATCTAAAATACTCAATGTAGTCAGGGAGTTATGGAACTTTCTTACCAATCATCAAATATTCGAAAGCAAAACTGCTCTATTGTTTCCCTTGCCAAGGTTATTTGTTCCAACAGTGTGACATCTTTCACTAGGCCAAAGGCATCTGTAACAGCAAGTATTAGGAATCTCAAGAAACATGCCATACCATATTATATACTTTATGATTACCATATTTGGTGTTCATTCTTACGCTGTAAAATTTCTTCACGGATAACCCCGGACCCTAAACTATAGAGAGGCTGAAATGTAATCCTCGGCTCGGCAACTAACTCTTGTGGCATCAATTCAAAATAGGAATATTCTTGTAGGATTATTTTGAATGAATTATTGTCTATGTTAATTCCATTCTCTACTGAGAATCTTCGAAACAAATATGTACATCCTTCTTTTAAGATTCTACTGTATCGTCTAATGAGATCTTTACGCCTTGTAGTTGCCAAAACCATGGTTCCCTATTAAACAAAGCAAACTTTTATAATCATTGGATTGTACTCAAACCTTGCATGAAAAGTGTAAAACACCAAAGTTCACAATTTATTCTTGTAATAGCCTAATGATTAGACTGTATACCTTTTTGTCACAGATAATACAATTAAAAGCTATGGTTGCATCTTTAGCTGAGTGAGAGAGATTCCATGTCATGGAGAGCACTCGTGCACATATTCTCCACTAGGTATGCTTATCCGAGACATTCAAAAACGTGGAGACATCCCCAAATGCCATTTGCAACTTTGAAGTGTGACACCTCACTATCATGCGTGCAAATATTTCATCTTCAACTTGAATGGATATTTATCTATTTATATAGGTCAGTTTTGACGCTCCCCCTTGCCAATAATAATGGAGCAGCCTAATTAGTGGGGATCAAGAATAATTCTCATTGAAAGACTTGTTGTCCTCGGAAGACATGCAGTCATATGTCCCTTCAAAATGATGTCCTTGGATATAATGAAAACAGTCAGTCATATGCCTCTTCGTTCTTCTCCAAATTTATTGGCCATTAACTGGGCGATTTTACAGGGAAATTTTCTCTTGTGTATGTTTTATCATTCCCCGAAGTGCGTTAGTTTTTTAATGCCAGTTATAAGGTGGAGTTGAAACTAAACTATATGTAGCTTTACGAATGGGATGAATGAAATATACGTATCAAATTAATTCTCTATTTTAAGAGATACAAGACTGAAAGTTGAATACAAGAAAGCCCACAAATAATAGTTATCTAAGAAGTAGATGCATGACCAAAAAAAGTTTTTAACCTCATTAAATATCTCATCTATCCATATTAGATCTCTTATAATTATAACTGGAGGTACAATAGAAAAATACATATTATAGATAACCCAAAATTCAAGATTTTTGTAATATAGAAAATCGAATCTTAAACACTGCTCTCTTTCAAACAAAATGTAAAGGTTTATCTTGTTTTACTTGATTTTAAGGTTCTGACATAAACAGATATCTAGAGCAAAACTATAAGAAAAGCTCCATATAAATAATTGATAGGAGGCATTTGCGAATATATAAAAATAAGAATGAGAAGCTATGATAGACCTTTACTACAACTGTTGCTTAATGAAGTTGACAGACAGTGATTCCTAAAGTTATGCGTTCAACTTTCTTGTTATAATAAAGCAAAATATATTTCCAATGTACTTTAATTTATGAGCTTGCACGATTTATTCTCAATAAATGATAACAATATATTTTTTTCAAATACATTGCAATAAGCAAATTTTTTTTACAAGTTAAACGCATGAGTGATTGTTTTCTGGGATGACTTTTTCTTTAAAATTGGCATGAAACTCAAATTTTCGATAGGGTAAGTACTCCTATGTTTGGAGAATTTATTGTAATTCTAAATCAATATTTCATTTTGTAAATTCATAAAATAATGTTTTTCATTCCAATACCTTTTTTTTTATACAACATGGACATTAAAGTATTTTAGTATTAACATGACAATACCCCATCTTTTTGTTATTCTCCATTGATGAGTTTAACCGTGCATAGATTACGGTGTTTAGATAACGTTTAAATCATAACAATAGTTTTTGAAATTCTTAATAATTTAATCTCATATAATTTGATGAGAAAAAGTTATTTTTATTTATTATTTTCAAGCCTGTCATTGGTATTTGCCATCAGTTAATATTTGGTC